AAAAATAAATATTTAAACGAGGAATATGAGTATCCCGTCTAAATCTTTTGCCAAGTTTCTTATAATAAACATTGGCAAATGATTATGTTTTAAAAAGAAACGATTATGTAACAGAAATTTTATGACATATAGAAGACGGGAAGGGACGGGACGGGTCAGGACGAGACGGAAAGGAACAGGACGGGTTTCCATTCTAAACTACACATAAAACAATTCAAACTAAAGCCAAACCCAAATCCGATTGAACATCTCTAAGCAAACAGTTAGAAATGTTTTGATTAGTTTAAAAAATAAACACGTAATATCACTTATCATTTTCATTTAAAAAATGTTAAAATTGTAATTTTAAAATTTTATTATGTAATACAATATCTATATTTTACAACTGTATGTCTATATATAGTTTATCAAATAAACTCATATAACAAAATTTTACCGAAATAACATATACTTAAAAAATCATAATTTTGTAAAAATAACTCCGCACGTACGTGCGGGTCCATCACTAGTATAACATATTTAAGAATATAAATTTTTAAAACAAATAAGATCATTTAAAGATATTTAAGAAATTTTCAGTTTATTAAGGAGATATTTTAAGAAATTTTGTTAAATGTAATAAATACTATCTTTATAAATCAGGGAAATTATTCTATATATATCTTTTTTTTGTAAATCCGATCCCTTTTAACTTTTATGATTTCGGAGATTTTGCTGGAAATGAAAACAAGCAAAAACTTATGAAGTCTAGTGTAATTAAGACATATGATCATCTCTCATCGTACCCTAGAGGTATGTGTCCTGTATACAAGTCTTTGATGCATATAGAACGTACAGTTCTAACTTTCAATGAAAACATTCTCTCACATGTATCCTTGTTCTTTCTACTTTGCAGGTCCTTTATCATTTACTTCATACTGGGACAAAATTCCAAAGTTTCATAACTTGTCTCACTTACAGGCTACCTTCTCCAACACCAGTCGTTACAATTTTGTTGTCTACCTTTCTTGAGAGCTGAGCAAATATGAAAAGGCTAATCTTGGTAACAATCTGTTTGAATATCATGTGATCTGCCTTAACAACATTGTTGAAATACATTGTAAACTCAGATTGTTAGTATCTTTTTCGCAGGATACGGAGCCAGAGCAAGTCGAACTTACAACCGTGCCTCGATGTTTAACATTGACTCTTAAATATGCTAAGATTAACAAACTGATCACGAGAGAGGAACTAGTGAATTAATTACTTTTCAGTAGTACTACTTACTTTGAGTTCCACAGATTCTACTATGGCCGACAAAGCTCATGATATTATCATGAAGCTTCTTGCATCTACAAAGGTTTCTCGCAGATGTCAAGTTATCGTTGATGCTGGAAACTTGGTGGGCACATGAGAATTGTTTCATTGAACATTCTTTTAAGCATCATATAATACTCTAATGAAATTGCCGTTTGGCTAAGCATATTATATTCATTCATTATTATATTTTATTTTATTTCTTCAATTCAATTTCTCAAAATAGTTATAAAAAAAAAACTTTGCTATAGCAAAACTTAATTCTTATTATATACTTTGCTAGCTAGTAATAAGAACACAAAGCAAACATAAGCTGCCTTTATTCATAAGTTTTTATTTTTGATTTTATATTTATAGATGGAGTCTCAACTCCTACAAACTTGGAAGCACAAAGCAAAACAAAAGAAGTTCATTATTTGCAAAAACATTTATAAAAAAAAAAAAAAGAGGGGGGAAGCTTAAGTAAGACTTTTTCTTAGTCTTTGGATGGTCCTCCTTCGTCTTCATCTTCCTGTTGAACGTGATCCTTAGCCTCTCCAGAAACAGTCTCAAAGCCTGAGACTGTAATACCTCCACGTCCATCTTCATTGTGTTTTGCAAGAATAGACTTATAATATAATTCAGACCCATCTGGTTGATAGATCCCTAAATGGTCAGAAGTGCACCATGCATATCTTCATATTGTCTCGAGATATGTCTATACTGATAAACTCTTCACTCTTCCATGTATGAATTGCCTTATCTGCAATCTTATTAATCTTGCCAAGAGCATCATTAAGATATATATTGTAATCATTGTACTTGAGCATATATCCATCAACATTTCCGGTATACTTTTTGAATTTAATATAGGTATCAGCGTCAATATGTTCATTGATAGACTCATACCCAATCCCAACATTAAGAACAATTGTCTTACCAGTACTGTGTAAGCACTCACCTGTATTATTAATAACCTTTTGGTTAATAGAAGAAATGTTTTCTTGTTGTAGGAGGAAAAACAAAGGAATCCTTCTTCTTATATAGATTTCTCATTTTGATCTTAACGGCTCAGATCGTTTGACACTCTTTCTAAATAATCCAACGGATGATATGCTGGAAGTCGGAACAATGGAACGAGGAGGTAATATTATCTTAGACGCAATTGCATCCAACATGTAAGATTAAGTATCATTATAACGATGCTTACAACATGTGATGATGTAATAAATGGTCAATGCATTTTTGCATTTTGGTCGTTGGCTTTTACTGTATATTTTCCGACAACTATTCATTTTCTGTCGCCAACGATATATTCCGGCCATACAGGGACAGGGTTATACTCATTTTATTTCTCAAAGACTTATCTATTTTATAAAACCTGTTATATATTATTCAGGTCATTCTTATAAGAATAATTTGTGAGTTGGGTCTTTCTATATAGAATATTTTTTCGTAAATGTTCTCAATAAAAATATTTTGTGAGTTGGGTCATTCTTAATAAATATAATTAACAATAATAAATAATAAATAAATATAATTTGTAAGTTGGGTTTGAATGACAATTATGTTTATTAATAATATTTCAACTTACAAATAATATTTCATATAGAAAGACCCAGCTCACAAATTATTTTATTTAATTTAGAAAGATCCAACTTACAAATTATTTTTAATTAGAATGACAAATTTTAATTTTTTTTTATAAATCGTCAATGCAAAGAACTATTATTAAGAAAGACCTAACTTATATAGATACATTTATGCATAGTCGTATTCAAAAAAATTTCATATACTCGTTTATTTTATCAAAGAAGCTGGTCCAATTTGCAAAAAATATATTATATGTATACTCAAGACATAATTTTTGTTTTTGGGAAGATATGACCGGATCTAGAGAAAGCCTATGACCGGATCAGATGAGATTTCTTCGAAGATACACTTATTACAGTGCATGGGACTAGAGAGTGGAGGAAATGTTAGTGTAATTGGGCTCACACCCTTACCAGCTTATCAGAATGAAGCAACATACTCTCCCCTATTACGCCCGACTCATATATATGTGTGACTCACCGACTCATAGTAGCAAATCCGTACAAGACTCAGGTCGGACCGGATAGGATACTTGATAAGGTATTAATTGGACAGTCTGTTCGGATGCATTTGTAAGCGTTAGAAGTGTTTGATTGTATAATAACGACATTGTCCTTCTTTAGAAATGTATGTTTCTTCTTTGTATGTACTTAAAATGAAATAATGAAGAGATGCATTGAAAATTTAGGTAAATTGTAGAATGTAAACATTCTATTATATATAGTAGACTATAGACACTTAAATGTGTTAGCCGTTACGTTGGACATAATTGCGTCTTAGATAATACTACCTCCTCGTACCTTCAGTTGTTTCAAGCTATTTCATCCGTTGGATTAGAAAGAGTATACAAAGATCTAAGCCGTAGAGATCACAATGAGAAATCTATTTAAAGAAGGTTTCCTTCATTAATATATATTTCTCACACCAAAAATATTCATTATGCCTCCTTTTATAAAACAAGCTCATAATGATTATACGAAGCTTGTACACGTATACACAAGTATGAAGCATGGTGATATGGGGTATTCTATTCCTAATTCAGAAACTAAGGATATCAATGATTACATCACTTCTGAATCTGATCATGTATATTCCGAGATTAATCTGATGGATCCAGAAGATTTTAAAGGTTACCGTCTAAGGTACACCAATCCGGCTCAGATTCTTTATCTTAATGATACTCTTGGCAAGAGTCTTAGTGTAGCAGATTCTGAAATTCGTACACGTTACGATAAAACAAATATTTATATACATATATATGTCGATTCGATCAAGATACATGGTAAGAATGATGATTTAGGTATAACTCAACCTAATGGAGATATTATATTATTATACTTCTATTACGGCAACAAGAAAAGGAAGAGAAGGAGGTGGAGGTCTTACTCTTGAAGGATCCAAGCCTCGTCGAGGTGATGATGAAGACGACGCAGCCTAATATGATGAAGCATCAGCCAAGATGATAAGCCAACTCGTAGATGACGATGGCGCAACCTAAAGTACCAGCAAGACTGATTAAGTCAGTCTTCTTTTCCCTTTTATGTATGTTTTCTTTTGCAAATAATTAATACAGTGTGGCTTTATGTTCTTATCTTTGAGAGCAAAACCCACGTTTCCAAGTGTGTACGAGTTGAGACTCCATTCATGTAAAAAGAAAATAAAGCTTAATTTTGTTTGCCTATTGGGAAATTTATTCTTGTGTTCTTATTGGTTAACTCGAACCACACTGATGCAGCAACCAAATTTGAAAATCGGTTTACAACCTGACAAAAAGCTATTAAAGAGGAATAATTTGTGTTTTTGATTATATAATCTAAGGTCCAAAGACCGTAAGCTACCATAATTTTTTCTTTTTATGAAAAATGTTATAATTGAAAATATACGACATATGAAAGTATTTTTGAAAATGGATACCGTAAAAAAGACATTTAGTTAAAATTTACATGCTTTATTTTCGATTTTCAATTTATATTTATAATGGAGTCTCAACTCTTACAAATTTGGAAGCACAAAGCAAAACAAAAGAAGTAAATGTGGATTAGTCCTTAAAGATAAAGAACATAAATCCACTTATTATTTGCAAAAAAACAAAAAAAAAAACAGAAAAACAAGAGAGGTGAAAGTGAGACTTTTTAGTCTTTAGATGATCCTCCTTCGTCTACATCTTCTTTCATTTCAACATGATCCATAGGCTCTCCAACATCAGCCTTAACTCCTGTGACTATAATACCTCCATTTCTATCTTCGTTGTGTTTTGCAATAACAGACTTATAATATTTTAGAAACCCATCTGGGCTATAGATCCCTAAATCACAAGAAGTACACCATATCTTCATTGCATCTTGATTTATGTCAATACTGACGTACTCTTCACTCCTCCATGTACGCAATGGTTCATCTACAATTTCATTAGACTTGCCAAGAGCATCATTAAGATATATATTGAAATCGTCGTACTTGAGCATATATCCATCAGCATCTCCAGAATTTGTTTCAAATTTAGTATAGATATCAGTGTCGATATGTTCATTAACAGACACATACCCAACCCCGACATCAAGAACAATTTCCTTACCGTTAATGTATAAGCACCATGTCTCACCTGTATTATTAATAACCTTTTGTAGCAATGGAGCCATTATAGAAGAAATATCAATATTTTTTTTGTGATAATAGAAGAAATATTTTGTTGAGAAATAACAAAGGAAACCTTCTTCTTAAATAGATTTCTTCATTTTGATCTTAGCGGCTCAGATTTTTTGACACTCTTTCTAATCCAACGTACGTATGATATCTTGGAACAATGGAACTTATGGATAATATCAGGATAGACAGACACAGCTCACAGATTATTTAATTATTAATGACCCAACTTACATACTAATTTTAATTAATTAATCAGAAATGACAGCAAACTAATTTTAGCACTTGTTCAATTGAAGATATACTATTATTGAGAATGATCCAATTTGTTAATATTTATATGTATGTTTATGAAAAGTCGTATTCAAATTATTTTCACATAATCATTTTATCACCCAAATACTGTTCAAGTTTTTTAAAACATATATGCTCAACACATAATTATCAATGGCAGGGACACAAAATTATTAAAAATTTATTGACTTTTTCTGTAAGAGATTTTCACTTTTTTTTTTAACTTATTTGTTACATATATCAATCACATGTTATTTATATTCATTTATTAAAATTTTAGTTTAGTACTTCTTATGGTTTGACAAGAATATTAGATAATGGATACAACTTATGAATAATATTTGTTATTATTATTAAATATGACTCAAGTTACAGATTCTTTGTTTTACAGAATAATCCAATTTTACACATAATATTTCATATAGAAAGACACAGCTCACAAATTACTTTTATTAAAAATGACCCAACATATATTATTCTTTTTCAGAATGACTAAATGTTATTGTTATTATTTGTCAACGAAAAGAAATTATAATTAAGAATGACCCAACTTATATCTAGATTTATGTACGTTTATGCCAAGTCGTATTCAAATTATATTTTATATACTTATTTATCTCTTAAAGACTGTCCAATTTGTATAAGCATATTATATATATTCAACACATATATAATATAATAATCGAATTGCTGGGAGACTAAAATATTAAGACTTTTCTTTGTTAATGGATTTATTTTTTCAAAACTTAATTATTTGGTTACATGTATTAATATAGAGGCTGCGCTTTAATTCTTAACAGGAGCCAATATATGTAATGTAACTCAACATCCATCCCTATTTTTTTTAGAGGTTACGTTATATTTTCGTTCATGCTAATTTTTCCTTCTTTTTATTTTATTATTATTATTATTTTTTTTTAAATTTTATAATAAAAATATATTATTATGAATGACCCAACTTATAAATATGTATATGTACATTTATGCGAACTCGTATTCATATATATAAGCCAACAACACCATCGGCTACAGTAAATTACACTGCTTTTATTCCTTTTCGGTGACCGGTGATAACTATTTTATTGTATATCATCGATAAATTCCGGCCGGACATGGTTATACTCATTATATTTCTCAAAGACTATCTATTTTATTTCCTAGAACATGTTACATATTCTTAAGGTATTCTTATACGAATAATTTGTGAGTTGGGTCTGTCTATATAGAATCATATATATAAGTTAGATCAATCTATACAGAGTGTTTTTCGTAAATGTAGTAAATAAATATAATTTGTAAGTTGGGTCATTCTTAATAAATATAATTGAAATTAATAAATAAATATAAGTATAAATTGTAAGTTGGGTTTGATTGACGATTATGTTTATTAAAAATGCTCCAACTTACAAATAATATTTCATACAGTAAGACACAGCTTACAAATTATTTTATTTAGAAAGATCCAACTCAAAAATTAGTTTTAATCAATAAATCATGTTTACTAGTCTTTAATACAAAAGAAGCAAAATTTTGAAAATATTTCTTTTGGTATACATACTTATATTAAAAGTAAATATAATATTAAATCAACATATTTTTAACTGTATTCTGTATATTTTCACTTTGTTAAGACGACTACTAACAACCCATATTCATAGTCGTCTTTGAAATTATTTGTAAGTCGGGTCATTCTTTTTAGAAGAACAATTTGTGAGGTTGAGTGTTTCTATATTAAATTTTATTTGTAAGTTAGATCTTTCTATCCCTACTATAGTAAAAGAGAAGTACAAAAGTTTCTTGGGTCGGGTTTTTTTAAAAAATTAACCCGAAATTTTTCAATTGAATCTTAATAAAAATTTAAAGATATTAAATACCAGTTTCCATATATATTATTTCGAAATCTACCAAATTAAACCATCAATATCGGTTTTGGAAAGTACATTAATCTTAATTTGTTTAAGGAAAAATACATTAATGTATGATTTTGTATATTGGTTTAACAAATTAACCTAAAAATCAGAAATATAAATTAAATATAAAATATTTATCAAATTATCCATAATATTTCAAAACAAAATGTTCCTTAAATATCTTATATTAATATTTAGATGTATAGTTTTCTCCTATATTAACTATGATCTTCACACCAATTACGGGATAATTCATTTTCAACCATCTTTAATATATTTATTTGGCAATAGTTTCGAATTTCTGGCTTGATTGTAAAGCTAATCTTTTTTTCAACGCTAACCTAACTCTAAGAAAATAT